AACCCTCCTACTCGGTTGGAGGGAATGTAAATTGGTGCAGCCACTATGGAGGACAGTATAGAGCTTCCTTAAAAAACTGAAAATAGACTTCCTTGTAATCCAGCAATCCCATTCATGGGTATATGTCTGGAAAAAAATATAATTCAAAAAGACACATGCACCCCAATGTTCACAGCAGCACTATTTACAATAGCCAAGACACTGAAACAACCCAAATGTTCACTGACAGATGACTAGATAAAGAAGTTGTGGTATATTATATATATATACATATATACATATATATATATATACACACACAAGCATATACACATGAACACACACACACAGTGGAATACTGCTCAGCCATAAAAGATAAATTATTGCTATTTGCAGTAACATGGATGGACCTACAGGGTATTATGCTAAGTGAAATAAGTCAGAGAAAGAAAAACAAATATTCTATGTATTAACTTATATGTATATCTAAAAAATAAAACAAATTAATGACTATAATAAAACAGAAATAGACTCACAGGTACACAGAACAGACTGGTGATTACCAATGTGGAGAAGGAGGAGAGGGGAGGCAGGAAGGGGGTAGGGGATTGACAGGTAAAAAGTGCTACGTATAAAATGGATAGGTTACAGGGCTGTATGATACAGCACAGGGAAATATAGCCATTATTTTATGATGACTTTAAATGGAATATAATCTATAAAAATATTGAGCCTCTGTGTTGTAAACCTGAAACTAATATGATGTAAATTAAATACTCAATTACAAAATTTTTAATCAAAGTTTTCTTTTCATATTATTTGCAATAAGTTAGAAGCCAGCACTGTCAATACAAACATAGTACAAGTCACAATTTTCCAGTAATCCCATTTAGAAAATAAAAAGGAACAAGTAATAATTATATTTATCCCAAAATATCCAATATACTATCATTTCAAAAGTGTGATTAACACTTATAAAACTTATTAATAAATATTTTACATTATTTTTGTTTTACAAAGTCTTGAAAATCTATTATGTACTTTCCACTTATAGAACATCTCATTTCACAATAGCCACATGTGCCTGGTGGCTACCATACTAGACAGAGCAAATTACACCATTCACACTTCTGATAAATTACCTGCTCTTACTTATTTAAAAAACTTGCAGAAAAGGCTTTAGATATTCCCTATATCAAACAAAGCGACCTTGACTGGGTGGGGAGTATCTTCATTATAAAGTGAACAATAAAGGTAAGAGAGCCATGGTTACATGTACGTTAATGTAACAATACCTTCTTAATTCATTCAGGACTTTACAATCTTTCTTCATATGCCAAGGATTCATTGTCACTGCACAATATTTTTCACTATTATTATCTTTGGAATTGAGAGGCTTCCGATGACCCTGCTTTGTGCATCTGTACATAAAAGAAAACAACAAAACAGAGAAAAAGTCCTTATTAAAGATAATTTAGGGGGGAGGGTATAGCTCAACTGAAAGATCATATTCTTATCATGCACAAGGGCCTGGGTTCAATCCCCAGTACTTCTTCTAAAAATAAGATAAATAAAACCTAATTACCACCCCCTGCAAAAAAATTAATTAATTACTTTAATTAAAAGTTAAAAAATGATAATTTAGTGCAGGCTTATCAGGCTACAAGAGCTACAATGAATGCCCCTCCCGCCATTAATTTAGAAGAAGTCTCACAGTATTTCCCAACATAAATGCTAAAATATAATTCAGAACACTTTCTGATGGTCAGCATGATTTTAACCAAAAAGTAGATAATTACCTCCCTGGTGTCAAAGATCTTTCAGAGATGGGCACAGAATATTTAGTAAAAATGATTTTGCAACAACCTTTGAAAGAAATGCTGAGAAATGATCTTTTCTGTTGGAAATTAGCCTGCTTTTACATTCTGCAGTAGGTATACGTGTTTACAAACCAGGCAGGAACTGGATCATATTTTACACATACTTTAGAAACTGATTTGAATTTTACTCTCTACCTGCAAGGCTATTTCTTAGGTAATAACATAAGCTGGCCAATATACTAAATTTTGTTTCCCTGTTTGCTTAATCCTCACAAAAACTCTGTAAGCTGCTATTATTACCCCCTTATAACAGATAAAGAGCTTGAGGCAGAAAATAATTTGGGTAACTTGGTAAATGGTGTGTCTGGGAAAGACTGCAGCCCGTCTGACGCTCAAGTCCATTCTTCTCACCAATGTCTGATACTGCTACCTACATT